TTTGTCTGTGAAAAAAAGGAATTGATTCTTCCAATACCTTCTGATATAAGTAAGCTCGTTTTGTAAGTTAAAATAAGATAGTGATAGGTATACATGCAGATTGTCTGAATGGTCATTGGGGTCTATTTTGACTTCTGTCGACTTTCTTTTTTGTCTCTATACTTTTGTCTGCCTGTCTAACTGTTTTTTCTTCTTGTTTGCTGTCATTGTTATTCCGCTAAAGTGTTTTAAGTAATAAGGTTCGCTTAATAATTTCATGTTCTATTAGTTAAGCCCAAAAATCGACATTTCGTATTAGCAAATAACAAAAGAACCAGCTAGGTTGACAAAATAATCAATGTACTAAACTCACACTGGACAGATATTGTTGTACTTCTACAGGTTGGATTCTCCTTCGGGTTGTTAGTTGCACAGCAATTATATATTCCACTATCATTTCTTGTGATATTTGATAGATTAATTGTTACATGTCCCACGCCTTGGTTCTTACGGAACTTGCCACCATCCCTCAATCTCAGCCATGTGACGTTCGGTTCAGGAATTCCAACCGCAGAACAGCTGATAAATAATCCTTCGGATTCATTTACGCGTATGATTGAAGACGAAGGATTTAACGTGATATTAGGCAACGCTGTTATAAAAAGAACGAAACTCCATTCAATACACTACAAGAATTACAATAATTGGACATGTTAAAAAAAGTACAAAAATGTATCCAGATTATTGATATTGATCGTGCTAAAAAAATACAACAAAATAGAACCAATTTATGTAACATTTTACCTAATCTTACTAATAATGAGATGTGTAGCATCTAAAACTCAATTTGAACTTACATGTTACAACGAGTTTGACTTTACTTGTTATGGGGTTTCTTGTTGTCAGCACAAGAACACATCCATACGTACCACTATCAGCCAGAGTTACATTATGGATTACTAGTGTAGCAGTTGATTCTTTACTCACTCGAACAGGGTTCAGTAGTCTAGCAGGACATGTATTGGTGTGTATGTTCCATTTCCACTTGTTTAACATAGTTTCCTGTGAGATTAGAAATGCACTGTCATTGTCAGCATAGGATATCCACCTTGGAGAATTAATATCAAACTCTTCCAACTTGTTATCCACACTGTAATCCCACAAAAACTTAGCCTTTTCTCCTACAGACACATACAAAACACTTGGTGGAACTACTGTGAAACGAGCTGCACCTACAATATTCGACCAGGAAATATTAAAAATATAAAATATATAATGTAACAGCAAAATGGATATTCCTGTCGGATAAAGCGATTTTTTTGAGAAAGTAGACAAACAAATTCTCACCCTGAGTTCTGCTCACAAGTAACACTTTGATGATCAGTGAAATCCATAGGACTTGAGATGCCTCCATTGTCTCAGAAGATTAA